ATTTGATAAAAAATCTCTTGCGAAAGTTTTGAAATTCAAATATATTTTTTTAAAAATTAAATTTTGAAATCTCAATATCTCGAAAACTATATTGATCGTAGCACATCGTAGTATGCAATATTTTCTCGATAAAAAATCTATCAAACACACCTATCAAATTGAGGTGTCCCGGAAATAACATTCGCCTCGAAGAATGAATACATACCCATGAAACCCGCCGTGTAACAAAGTAAAATTGGATGGTTGCTATGCGCGAATTAAATCACGAGAGAGACAGAGAGATATATGTATCGATCTTTGTTATACAAGTTCATAGAATGGAACGATCTGATTTATATCCGACAATGTATGCAATTATAGTACATGTATCGTCACACACATACACGCAGACTAATTTTATATGATGCGCTGCACGAGGCCATGACCCATTTATTCCATCTCGGGTGGCGCGCGAGTGGAAATTATTGAACGCAAAGCAAACGGAGAATAGTTACGCGCGCTGTCATAAACTGAGCCCCCGGAGATTAAAGCCGATTACCCCATGAGAGAGAGGGAGAAGAGGAGCGTGTTATCGGGCGCAGCCTCAGGTGTTGCAGCTACTTCAAGTTAAGTCGGTCTTGTGAAATGCGCTCTACGTGTGTCCTCGGTAATTGCGTGGATTTAACGTCGGCAAATGCGCGACGTTGAATATCAATCTCTCCGCAAATGCGGTCGCCACGTCGGTCCGAATAATATTGAAGCTTACATTGCGCCGCACTCTCTTGATTAACGGAATAAATGTTGTGCAAACTTTTTAAATTTACATGCACAAACGCGAGCAGAGACAGCTCTTTCTCATCTATCGTTTATTAAAAAATCGGGGTAATTATAAAGACGATTAAGATTTAATTTATTAAAAATAAACGATTAGAAACATTCCATATAACTAGAGACCCTTTAATCGGAGTCCTGAAATAACGCCTAAGTTAAATCATCATTATTGATAAGATATGGGTGGCATATCTTATCAAAAACCGGAAGCAGTCAAAGGAGAATTTAATTTCTAAAGCTTGGTATTTGGAATAAAAGAAATAAATTACATAGATAATCAAATAATAAACTTTAATTTTATTACTATGCATTGCTATTGAAAAAAAAATTAAAAAATTATTCAAAATCATAAGCATTACATTTTAATTTTCGACGACCATCATTGTTTTTACCCGCATGCTTGATTCAAAATGGACCTATATATAATAATAAATAAATAAATATAATATAATATATAATATAAAGAAGTAATATATATGTATATATAATTTTATTTAAAAAATATATAAAACTCGATATCAACAAATAATCTTACAGAGAAATGAATTATTGGTTAGATTAGGTTATTAGGTTCCAGTCTGTTCTTACCATATTAGCGTCCATTTGCTCTTTGTTCAACATCGCGAAGAATACTTTCATAATATAGCCCCTTTTACGTTGAATTATTACAATTTGGCGCACAACCAGGCATTATTTATTATTTCACATTATTCTGTGGTCATATACAAATCATATATAATATAAACCAATTAGACAAATCATGGCGGCACCAATCAAAATCGGGGATGTTATTTCAGAACTCTGATTAAAGAGTCTCTACATATTCGTATAACGATAGGATTAAATATCTTACAATCATGTTCGAATTTGTTTGCATGGTTTCAAACTTTCCATAAGTACCTCGAGAGAAACAAGAGTAGACTATCAAATTCACGAACTTGAATCAAGTATGTTTAAATTTTTTATGAAAAATTTTACGTTATATATGTATATGTATAGATGTACAAGTATAAATGGATTTTTTTTCTTGTAGTTTGAGTAATTAATGGCAGAAAATTCGATTTTTTACGACAGAAAGTACTTATACATAATTTCGAACCTTGCAGACACTCAATCTAAAATTCGAATATAATTGTTCTAGATTCAAGTACTTCGCAAGTACAATATATGAAAAATTATTTTTTATGAGTATTCGAATCTTCCAAAAATAAAACTGATTATTGCATTCGACTCAGGTTTTTATGTATTATTGAACTTGATACTTGCGAAGTGGTCTAGAACAGTTATACTTGAATTCGAGTAAATTTATACTTGAAAATTTGAAATAGTATTTATAAAGAATCGAATTTTGTAAGTAACTAATTCTAAATTATAAGATAAAAGAAATTTAATATATTTAAAACACTTGCTTAAAGCACATCTATACACACACGCACACTCCTCCTCATCACGCACATTCACTTAGGCTTACAATTTCTCATAAGTACTCAAACAATTCGAACATACTTGATGAAGATTTAAATGTACTTAAGAAGCTGCTCTTGTTTTTAAGGTAATTATAGAGTTCAAATTCATTCTTCTGAGGGTCCTATCTCGTTCGAGTCTACTTGGAATATTGTCTTTTTTTAAGTAATCAGAATTGGAAACTGTGCAAACAAGGAATCTATATATTATATATGCAATATATTTGATATATCTCTTCGCTAGTCTATATCAAAATCACAATTTCAAAGCTCCATATTGTTTGGTGATGAAAAAACGTTGAGCGAAAAGAATCATCGAGGAAACAATCCGGTTATAAAGGAGAGCACTTTACGTTCATTTACGAATTATTTGAGACGTAACCACGCGTACAAGGATTGCCGCAAAAGCGAGCGTTAACAGCCGAAAGCCGTTAACCCTCTACTTCGATTTCCTTTCTTTTTCTCGCTCTTATCCGACGCTTTTCTCATTATCCGCGGGTAATCGTATCCACCACGGTGCAATCGCGCACTCCGAAACCCTGAGACTCGCAATTTAGCCGAGTAGCTGTCTCCCGAGAAGTGCACAAACCGTGCATAAATGTGCGTGCTATCTTTTCCTTCATTCGCAAGCAATTACGTTGATCCACTGATTAAAGATTCAACAAATAATCTTATTTTCGTTTTTTTACCCGTTTTTAGATAAAAAAAATATTGAAGTTTTACAGTTGTATCTATAAATGAAACAATCTATATTTTGATTAATATATTACATCTTAATTATAATTAAACATTTTACAACTTAAATATTATTTATGACAAGGTTATTAGATTAGTTTAAATTAGTATTATTATTTGAACACGTTCTGTATTGACGAGATTGTTTAGACACAACGTTTTAATTTAATATATTTTTATATTTATGACATGTATAAGTTTGTTCATCGCTGTACTTGGTATGTCAGCTCAATTATTACGTAAGGAATTTTTTGCATGTATATTTTTTGATATGTTCGTGGTTTAATCTTATTTTATTGCATTAATATTAAGGTTGTATGTAATTATTTTTCCAGTGCATTTGAAAATGATCTAAACCAAAGGTCGAAACGTCATATGAATTGGATTTCAATAAAGAAATTATCTTTGTCCAGTATTGGTCGTTTTTTTATGATTACATACTTAATTGTGGTGATTACTACATTTATACTGGCGGATTGATACATTATACCAAATCAATTAAGACAAGTTTTAAACATTTTAGTTAATAAATTAAACAAAACAAAACTTTTGTTTAATTGCTAAGGGGATCCCTCACCAACGACGAACTCTGGAAAAATAGTAGCTCATTTTGGAATTAAAAATATTGGTAATTACCGATTGATTTTCACAGAATAATTACTGGTATTTTAAATTCTTTATTATAAATTATCCAGATCAAATATGTAGAAATTTATGTCTAGATGACACACATGGAATCACTTTTTACTACATTTAATACTATTGTAGGTTTGAACGTAAATATGTATTGCTGTTTTTTGCTCCACTATACAAACTACTTTTATATTGGATTTCTAATCTAGATTTAGAGGGTAACAGCTTTTCTCGTGTACCTTAATCCCAGGGATCTTTATTTATAGTACAAAATTATATGAAACTCAGTCAGTTATAATTTTTTTTTTATATGAAACACATAATATGATGAATTGACAGCTCGTCTGTCATTCGAAACGTCACATCGAAATAAAAGTAGAAAAGACTAGAAATACGAAAATAATAATTAATCGATAAAACAGACAATCACGAAAGATTTTAGATATTTTGGGAATACTGAATCCAAAAGTGACAACAATTTTGTTGAATTGGCTCTAATTTTTTATATAATAGATACTTATCATTTTACTCCAAATACGACCTATAACTGCTGACATGTAGTTTGGTTTCTGTCTTTTTATTCTTTAACATTGTTTTTATTTCTAACGCGATCCTGATAATCCACATAGAAAAGAATCGTACAAAGAGCATTTTTCTATGCATTAATTTCTATGCATTGTGATTATTTGAGTCAATCCTAATAGCCCTAACATCTGAAAGACATTCAAAGGATATCCAGAGGACATTCGATCATCCTCAGGATGTTCTCTGAACGTCTTCGGGATATGTGTGTTGTTAGGGAGTTTATTTTGTTTTTATATTATGTTTTACTTTGCTGAATACAACGCCATTAAGTATTTCATATAATATACTTTTGTATGATTTGAGACAATTTATGATTTGGGGATAGACTACGCCTGACCATTACATTTTTTGCATTTTTCATTTTTCATGAAACACCCATTATCTCAAAAATTAGAGCCAATCTAGGAAAACCAATGTCACATTCGGAATCGATGACACAAAGTTACCCTAAAATTGATCTAACATAATTCACAATAAAATTAATGTTTTGATCAGTGTTACGTATCTTTCTTTCGTGTAAAATAATACCATAAATATATTTCCTTTTCGATCTCGTGTATAAATATATGACAAATCCTTTCGCACCCTAGTCTAATAGATTACTACTAAAATTCGTTTACATCGAGATATTAAAAAACTCTGTTTACGCAAATATATGACGGACAGAGCGAAAACAATTAGGGAGAAGTCCAGTTGAAACTTCTGCCGCCAATATTCATCTTCACTTAAGTCAATCTCTGACGCTCATCTTCTTTCTCTCTTTCTATGTCGTAGTGGCTCGGTCTGGGCATCATGGCGGTGGGCGGTCTGGGCATGGACCGAAAGGACACCTTCAACAACCTGTCCGCCTCACGAACGTCGCACTCGATCCAGCATTATCCTCATTCTAGTCGGTGAGTACTTCTTTCTCTCTTGTTCACTCCGCGACTCGTATGAAGAGTTATAACGATTTCAAGCGTTGACGAGCTCAACTTTATGAAGAGCGGTAAATCCTAATTATATATATACAACGCGTAACTTCATTAGAGCTTGAGACAGCTAAAGATTTTAATTACCCTCGTGCGCAGAATAATTTCCACTTATATTCCCTATTTAACAATATTATCAGATGTAATGTAACTTATTTTAACTTGTTAAAATAATACTAGAATAACGTGAAGGTGTAAATTGGGGGTTAAATTGTCAAAATGCGCGCGTTGTACATACACGCAATTTATATATTATTTCGTTAAATCTTTAAATATATAGTTCTTATTATTCTTATTTCTTATTTGAATATTTCAGAAATACATTTATGTTTAAAATTTTTTTTTATTAAAAAAATAAAAAGAGAAGAGAAAAATGTTATCGTAGATTTTCACTATCTAAATATCTTAGTTGTTTTAATAAAATATTTAGAAAAATATTTACGTTTAATATCTAGAGAATAAAATTTAAATAATAAAAGAATTAACAAATAAAACTTAAAATAAAATAAACTAAAAGATAAAAAATAGAAAAATAAAAACTCAAAAAATTTATGAAAAATAAAATAAAAATCTTAAATAAAAAAATTAGCTTTGAAAAGTTTGAAATAATATCTGTTTGTATTAACCCACATAGCAAAAGTTAATCCGAGGTATGTTCATCGGATATCTCTCAGGGTTTTCAGATATCCAAAATACATCCGTATAAATCCTGGGGATGTATTTAGGATGCACTGACGATACCTTTATGTCATCTTATGAGATATCTGTAAAGATCCAAATGAATATCCTTAGAATTATAATTACATAACAAAATTTGATCCCAACATCCATAGATATTATTGGGATCGAATTTTGTACTTGATGTTTCTAAATGCCTTTTTTGCTATCTTAGATTGATCGATATATTCAGTAATTGAATATATATATAGAGTAACCGCTACGAATTTGTTGATATATTTCTGCAAATGTGAATATAATTATAATAAAGAAACCCTATAATTATTTAAATATAACATTTTAAAATTATACATATATATTTTTACATTATTATATGTAATTGTTAAATATCTAAAAAGAGGAGATTACGGAAAAATATTGTACATAGATTTTTTGCGACGAGGGCGAGAACAAGTCGTAATAAAGGAGGAAAACGACTTCAATAATGCGCCGCCTGATTTCAAAATCGCACCAGTTTCGCCCCTTCCTCCTCCATCTACCTCTACCCCCGGACTTTAGTGCGTTCTCGGAGCAATTGCAATTTTTCCTCGGAACTGCCTGCGAAGTGCTATCGCTTCCGTCGACGAAAACATTTCGCACGACCGCGCCGTCGCTATTTTCGCCGTAACTTAATTTCTGTATTAACGTCGTTGGAGGATGCGCTGACCTTATAAAGTCCGAGAACGACGACATTTGTTCTAATTCGTTCACGAAAATTTCGCACGTTTCTCTCTCGCGTCGTAATATGCGACTAACAATAGCACGGATTTGTAATTTGGATAACGCCCGGGAAAACTATACCTACATATATCTCCGAGAAACGAAGCACGACGCAAGCCGGAAATTAAGATGTCCGAATAGTCGTGAATTTTCCGGATAGTTTAAATCTTTCGAGAGAGAAACGCTTTTTCTCGCTTGAAATAACCCCATATATTTTTTTATTTCTCTTCGCCTTTAGATCCGGCAAAGTACATCTTCTCTGTCATTATAAAGCTGAGATCACGAATTATGGAATATTCTATTCCATAATTTCCTTTTCGAGAAGAAAGATTTAAGATCGATGTAACATCGAATAGAAATGCAGACTCGTTTACCGTATTTCTATTTTTTATAATTATTCGACTCATCGTTACAAAGCAGATACAGTCGTGATACTTTGAAGTCTGGCCTCTGATGCTGAAATTCAATCTCTGATTATTATTCGGCCACGCGCTTTGCAATTCGCTCTTCAGAGTACAACTTCCGCGTATGTTTGAGATCGGGAAACTCTCATTCCACTAGTCTGATTTGTATACAGCTCTTCTGTTTACTAATGCACTGGAGGATTAATAGTAGAAAATTAATGTAATAAAAACGGTGGAAAATATTATCCATGCTGGCTACTATTTTAAGTTTAAAATAATTGGAAAAACGAATGTAATATTCTGTCAAGAAATTTTCAAGAAAAATAGTAATTATTAGAGATAAAATTAAATTTCAATATATACTGAAAATCTTCAACATAAACTTTAAAATCCGAATCAAATCCAATAATCAAATTTTATTTTCTAGGATTCATGTAATATTTATATATTATAAGAAAATAATATTTCAGATATAGATAGTAATCAAATCTAGAACAATTATACATATATATATATATATATATATATATATATATATATTCAAATTTTACATTGAGTACATCTGCAAGGTTCGAAATAGTACTTGTAAGTATTATACTTTCTATTGTAAAAAATCTTTTACAAGTAGGTTAAGCTTGGTTAGAATTAGATTTAAGGTTAAGACCATAGATTAGGCACATAGAAAAACGTAAGCAGTAAGACTTAAAGTGAATCGACCAATCACGGTCGAGCAGTAAAGCAACCATTTCGAAACTTTAGCAGCAATTTTACAAATTCCATATAAATAAAATTCTTAAGTCTTAAGTTTTTCTATGTATATACCCTCAAAGTTAGGTATAATTAGAATTAAGTTAGGTTAAATTAGGTTAGTTGCTCGAACTCTAAAGGTACTTTTTCATTCTTTGTTCTGTTATCATTTCAAGATTAAAATTATGATTTTTGCTTTTATATTCTCATAATAATCTATTTTATTCTTAAAATCCATTATTTAACTATAATATAATAATATAATAATAATAATTAGAATCAACTAGTTGCGAATACTGTAAGATATTTAATCCCACTACCAATTATATTTTCTCTGATAATTATTGGTTTTCCACGCTGTTTATGATATAAAAAATAGATTTTTGCATTCCGCAAATTGATTAACATTATACATTATCATTTATTTAAAATTGTTCCGAAACAAATAAACATAATTGCCAAGCTTTTTCTTGCTACAGAAATGAATAAATTTTTATTTGCTAAATAAACATTTATCAAAGCTTTCCGGAACATGTTTACAGTATAATAAACCTTTTTCAATTAACACAAGTGTATCAAGCAAAAGTGAAAACAGAGAGCATGAAAGAGTGGAAAAAGAAGAAAGAGGGAAAAGAAATGATCGGTTTTCCCTCGGCGAATCGCTTGCTCATAAAACGTCGAGTAAATTAGGCGGAATGACGGGATGAAAAATAATGTTGGGGCCGTATAACGGGTAATGTATAAATGATACTCGCGGCCTCGGCGCGCCGAATGCGGTCCTATGAATCAGAGTCCCAAATGTAACGACACAATTTCCTTGCCATGAAGGCGGAAGATAAGCTGTGTGCACGCGACATTACCGGTCGTTAAAGGGTGCGTTTTGTGTCGACGCAGGCGAGGTGGAATAGCTCCCCCCCCCTCCCTCCCCCCTCCCGCTTTTTGTCGATGGTCACGATCGCAACGACCTATTTTCACAACACTACTGTGAATCGACTGCATGATGCTCGCGGCCATTAGTATGTATAAAGATCGGTATAAAGAGGATATAGATATATTTCTCAGGTATAGAAAATTCGAATCAATTTTTCTCGACAAATACGGTATGCAATACTATTTCAATGTCGAGGCAATTTTCATATGATACGAGAAAATTTACGAGAAAACCGATATTATTATGAGATTACAAATTGAGGTTAAGAGTTTTTGTTTATGTAAAAGAAATCTTCCGATAAACAAGAAAAATAGACTTATATCATTTTTAAAAAATAAACAGCATATACAAGTATTTCCTTCTAAATGAAAAAAATATGTAGCTACTAGTTACAAATTACATATTGTTTCTTAAAAATAACTATATGTATTTTCTTCACACTAATTGACTCATTATTTTATGATTATACATCATACATAAAAGTACTAAGGTAAAATCGTCGGAGATGAATATTTTACAAGATATTTCATAATTTATGTGAAATTATGTCAAACTAAAGTCTAAAATATCTCATAAACTATATTCACTTTTTGCCAACCTACTCTTATAACTTTTTATGCAGAATATTGCGACGGATAGATTTATATAAAAAATATGGTGGTTCCAAAGAAAAATATGATGATCTCTAAATGAAATTGAAAAACGCCACGCAGAGGCAATCCTGAGTCACGATCTCGCAGATAGCACACAAGTTATTCGAAAAGAATTCATTTGTATGTCACCAATTTTGAGTCCCTTTTCAAACACATATAGAATTCATTTTGTAAAATGAAATATACGTATTTGAAAAGAGACTCAAAATTGGTGACATACAAATGAATTCTTTTAGGTTAGATTGACCCAATGCAAAAAATTGATAGAAAAACTGTAATTATGTATTTAGCTTTCTTGCTTTTTTTTAATATACATTTATAGTAGCCCAGATTTGTTATTATAAGCACTTTAATTCTAGTAAAGGATTTTTCATTCTATATAGCAAATAAAAAGTTAAATGAAAATAATATTTGTCAATCAAACAGAACTAGTCAACATCCCCTTTAAATTGAAACTCTTTACAAAAAATTGACAAGAAAAACTCGATTCATATAGAAAAAAAACAAACGTAACACAGGAAAAAACCTGCGAAAGTTATGAAGGGCCAGCGGAACGCTAATTAAAATATACAGCAGATGCGAAGGTTAAGGGTGCGCGCAGAAAGCACCGTCATCCTCGATACATTTTCATTAACCATCATAGACATTTTCTCTCTCTATGACTCTCGTTCTCTTTGTTTCAGCAACATAAATGTAATCCCGTCAACTAATACACACATCTGGCAAATAGGCGCAGATTGCGCATCTTGTTCC